AGTGTCGCGATTCGCTGTTGCGAGGTGATCTATCGAAAAACTTTCCTCTTTCCGCATTCCCGTCAGGGTCATTTCGATCTCACGTGGTACCATGCCTACAGATTCATGCCGTCTTAGAGGCGCCTCTTTGGATTCTGCCTGCCACGGCCACCTATTTTCTAGCCCGCCTTAAGGCACGAACACATGAGGCCCCCTGACAACTGAAACCTGAGCGACATGACAACGCAATCTTCGATTTGTGAAACCTCCTGCCTCGGTACACCTCACGTCTCAACTGTGGGGCCGGCCGAGACGGAGTCTATTGCCACGGCAACAGAGGGCATAAACAACAATTGGCTGGTGACCTGTCCTCCAGACGAGTCGGTAGACATTCGGCCAGACCAGTCGGTCGCTGTGGCTCCGGTCGGACAGGCGATTTGCTCACAAGCGGCCTGCTCGGCAGAAGATTCTGCCTCAGGTCGCCATGCCTCGGTGGTGGGCAAGGACAGGAGGGCAGAAGAAGTAGAGGCAGAGGAAGAGGAAGAAGAAGAGGAGGAGGAAGAGGAGGAGGAAGAGGAGGAGGAGGAAGAGGAGGAAGAAGAGGAAGAAGAGGACGAGGAAGAGGAGGAGGAGGGGGAGGGGGACGAGGAGGAGGAGGAGGAGATGAAAGAGGCGGTGGAGGAGGAGGAGGAGGAGGAGGAGGAAGAGGAGGGCGTCAAGGTGCTCGAGATCCGATGTGAAGAAGGACTGCTGAGACAATCGACTGGTTTCGCCTCCGAAGATGATGTGACGCTGAGGCGTCAGGTCCAGTTGAGCGCGATGAAATGCCCATCTCTGGACGACACGTTCTCGCGAGACGACGTCTCCACACCGATGTGGGCGTCGTTGACGACCTCGCTGATCTCGTCCAGCACCGCCAGTCCGTCGGCCACCGGCACAAGCTTTCAGAGCACGCCAACCACATGTCAGCCGGCATGTTCGAGGGGAAACGAGGCGCGGCCGGTGACAGAAGCCGGAAAAACGGGGTACAGTCCGTCGGCGTCGGACGACTTCACCGGCCTGCCCAGCATCGTCTTCTCCAACGACCTGCTGACGGCCGGTCAGGCCAAAGGCGGTCTGTTGGTGCTGCGCTCGGCGGCCAACGCGAATCCCAGCATCACGGAACAGTTCAACCAGATCGCCAAAATGAATCGCGGCAGCCTGCGCACGCGACGAGTCATCCAGACGACGACGACCCGACTCACCTGCCTCGCGGTCGCGGCCGCCGGCTCGAGTCCCGCCAGGCCGGACACGTGCGGCGGCAGCGTCGACCGACTCACCGGCCCGACGGGCGACGCCGGCGAGTCCGGCGAGTCCGGCGAGCCCAGCGAGCCCGGCGAGTCCGGCGAATCCAGCGAGCTCGGCGAGCCTGGCGACCGGCCGACGTGTCCGCGGGAGACGGTCCGCAGTCGGCTGCCTCGGTACGCGTTGATAGCGCCCGGACTTGGACCCGGACCTGCAGGCGGGGCCAAATCGGCAGCCGGACTCGGACTCGGGTCGCTCTGTCTTTTGCCCTCGGGGCAGACACGCGGCACCGGACGACCCGGCGGAATTCGTTATCATCACGCTCGTTTCCATAGCGACGAAACGACACCCCTGTGTTATGTGCCGTCGCAACATGACGTTGGCAGGACGGAAGAGCCGGACGACGTGAAGGGCATTGCGGATGGCCGGTCGCCGGTTGCCAGACAGGCCGGACGGAGTCTGAGACCGACGGACACTTCGAGCGCTGGATCGACGCCGGCCGGCGGTTCCGCGAAAGGCCTCGCGGTCGGGACAGACTCGGACCGGATGCCGGCGTCTCGAGGCAGCAACGTGTTGCGAAGCAAAAGCGCCGCCAGCACTCTGCCCAGTCGGATTCGGGGCAAGATTCGCTTGCCGATTCGCTCCGAGACGTCGGGCTGTGCCACCGCGACTGTTGCCACGACTACGGCCCTGACGACCAGCACATTCAGGTCTACCACGACAAGCACCGGCTCTAGCTGCAACGATTCCGCCAAACTGGCCAGAGAGAGTGGACAGACTCCTCTGCGTAGCAACTCGAGTACGTCCGGAGAGCTGTCCGGTAACCTGCCGACGCAATTCGACGCCTGTTCGTCAACCGGAGATGCAGTTGGCATGGCGACCAGTTTCTTGGCTGGAGTCGCACAGACTAGTTGTCGTGCTGTGTCGGATGAGAGTAGGCCATTTTTGTTTTTTTCTTAAATATCAAGAAAAGACGGGCTTTAAAGAATCCCATACTAGTTTAATGGTACACACCAGTTATTTCCTTTGAAAAATATAAATATAAAATCTTCATAAATTGGCCGCGTTGGAAACCAAGGGAGAATTTTCTTGGAATTATGGCCGTTAGATTCTATGAAGACGAGTTCGGCTTCCAGAGCAATACATGCTGAGCTTTCGTCTGGCATGTGAGAGACATAATCAAAGTGAACAACTTTTATTAGGAAAAATCAATCTTTGATTTATTATTTATTTATTTAGTCTGTTGGTGAGACTATTTATTGCATAACAGACTAAAGCTCAGTACGGGCTCAAATTAGTATCAGGACGATGAGTCTCCTTAGCCAAACTTAAGGCCAAGCTAGCATCCTTCGCACCCACTTGTTCAATATTTTGTTTTTTTTTCCTTTGAAAACAAACGATTTCGTCTCTAGACAACAGTTGCTGTCCCGTCAAACCACATTGTTGAGCCTGCTGAAAATCCATAATTTATGTCCTCCGAACAGCTCAATAATTATAAAATATTGACTTAAATTAACAGAAATTCTTATAAAAATAATTTAGCTCTAAGACATACTCACACCAAAAATAGCCATTGTACACAAAGATTTTGAATATTTTCAACTTAAAAACTTATTTGCTTGCCAAATAGAAGTTAAATTATCGTTCATTCACACTCCCGACTATGCTGGGGATCCACAATACCGAATACTCGCATAATTTCTGACCATCGACTAGCCTCAGCATTTTGAAATCTCCAATGCATGTATGGCTCGAGCTTGGGTAATTGGTAAAAAAAACTAAATTATGCCCAAGATACGCCAACTTCTTAAATAGTTATTGCCGTTGAGATGAAAAATACGCCGAAATTTTTGTTTTGTCCCTTTAAAGCAAGCCTATTTAATCTTTAGACAAATCGAACCACAAAACATACTGATGATCCTAACTACCAAATAATTGCACAGTTTCTGCCCACCGACCAGCTTGAGAATTATGCAATCTCCGATGCGTGTATGACTCAAGCCTTAAAGTAATTCTTGAAAAAATAATAATTTGATCCCTATACATACTTACATCAAAAATAAAAAACATGCTCCATAATTTTGTTTCCTCTTCCTTTAAAACATCCTTTTTCCTTTTTCACCATAATTTTATTAAGATTATGAAGAGTTGGTGGAAGAATTTTCCGACAATCATATGAACTCAACTAGCAATCCTTCATCACCTCCAACAAAATAGGGTGAACACATATCATATATTTGGTTTAATGATGGTCTCAAAAACCTACTCCAATCCAACCAACAGGAGACTAAGTACAATTCAATGGTTTCGAGTGGCCTACATATGCCAATTGCGCAAACACTTCTGCTCTCGGTCAGTAAGTGAACTTAGGCCGCCAAATCCGAATAACTTTTTAAGAAATTTTCCGTTAAACCAACATGTATCTAGGTTGAGTTGTGTCTTTCATCTACAAAGCCCGTATCCTTTAGAGCAACCCATTTTTCGCGCCATATCCTTGCCTCTAGGTGGACTTAAACCACTTTTTTGGAGCTGTATAAATGGTAACAATTGCCAAGACTTGCGGTAATCACTCTTCTTCCCTACAAAGTTATGTGTTAAGGGGAATTTTGAGGCTATATTGTGAATTTCGATTAAGAATGAAATCTCTAGCCTGTTTCACATCATCCTTTTTCTTACTTCTCCAGAATCTACAGATCTTTATCGGCAGTCGAACGCGGATCATCCTCTGAGTGATTGAGCTCAAATTACAATTATAACTTGGTCATATCGAGTTTTTGCGAGGCTCTTGCCGTGTTAGAATACCTTTTTAATGCCCATCAGCCTGAATCGAAACCCATTTGTAGGCCCTCTTTCGATTCATCATGAATAGACAAACTTTAATCGCATAGAAACTATCCGTTGGTAAGTGCTAAGACACTCCTGTATAACGATCGTAGCATGTCTCGGCATCACAAGTACTTCCGAGAACTCTAAACGATTGATGTGAATACTTTTCTTTCATATGGTAGTACATGTTGAAGAGATACGTGGGTTAATCTCACCAGACCCGGCTGATACGCGTTGTACTGCAGTCCACGAGTTATCCTCCAAAGTTTCGGGTGAAGATGGGCTGAGCTTTCGTTCGTCATGCCACATGACGAATATCATCAGAGAGCCTCAAGTTAACACCAAGTCAATAAGAATAAGTGGCTTATTTCTTTATAATATATATACTCATTGTGGGCAAAAGGTAGGATTTAGGTGTGTGAATAGAAAGATTTGGTTGATTCACATATACTCTAGTGCGTCTGTGTGTTTATGTATTTTAACGTCTATACGCAAATGCGGCAATAACTCAGAGTAATTATACAAAGCTTAACATCAGCTCCAGGTCGTCAAGGCTTAATGGCCAAAGGAAAGAAGAAAATAAATAATAAAAAAGTATTACCGATGTTACGCTAGTCCATAAGTAACTATGGTCAAATTGATAAGATGTAGGTATGTACACGTGAAAATCAGGTAAAGAA